AGTATTAGCAGAAAATTCAGACAAACCTTTTGACTCAGTCAAGGAAGAGTATGAATCAACACAGATTTTCTGATAAGTTTGTATCATCTTCATGAAGATAAAGAGTAAAATCAAATACTTAAGACTTCAAAAGCTCCATACTAGAATATATTTAAGGAAACTTCGCTGAAAATTCTAGAAGACATTAAAGTAGAAGAAAAAGTGTTCTGTGGTACTCATAAGAAGGGTTCCAGACTGTAAAATTGGATAATATGAGGCAATGACAGCATTTTATAAAATTAAGTGGCATTTAATACCTATGAATTGATTTCAGATTACATGACTTTTCACATTTGAAAAAACTCTGCTACTTCAGAAAAACAATATTGAGTCCATACCTATGTAATCTTGAATGAAACTATAATATTAAATGACCAAGAAAATACCATAGTAGCTGAAGACTAACAATACTCACAGAAAGACTTGTCAACATTACGTATTGAATACAATAGATATTAGACGTATTCAAAATGCTAGAGGAAAGATATGCAGATATGCAACTAGTATTATGTATAGAAAACAAAAATATTTATGTATTTACTTTTGAATAAAGGGTTAAAAATATTCCTTTCTGAAGAGGAAAATGAACCCCAAGCAGAGTAAGATATCCAATGTTGTTAATTTATCTTTCCTACTAAAATATGATTGGTAAACATACTTTTGATGCTAAAATTCTGATAAATGCTGGAAAGAACAGAGTGTTGTGTGAATGTAGAAGCTATTTGACTAAATCCCACATGAAACAATAAAAATATGAGACATTTACTTTGTGTCATACATGTTGTGTCCATGTGCTCAGTATGAATTATTGCCATATTTTCAGATATAAAAATTGGAGTTCCCTTTTAGAATAAGTACACAAGGAGAATGCATGCATGGATGGCCTTTCCAACAAAGGAAACATACAAATAGCTACTTGGTTGAAGAAGGACATTTAAATATATATTTTCTTAAAAAATATCTCTAGTTTCCCTGGAATTCTTAATATCAAATTTCAGATTTATTATACCATCTTTAAAAAAAAAACTTAAGTCCCCACACATTAAATTCAGTTTCTTATCTTTCATGCCTTGGAGGTTTCTCAAACATAGCATAGCCTCATGTAGAATAATTGCTTTCCAGAGTACCATCTACATTAATTGTTGCACACAAAACTCCCCAGATCTCAGGAAATCCCACCACCCTTCCCTTATATTTAAAACATAGGCACCATCCATGATTCCATGATTCTTTTTATCTCACATCACATATGTTAATTACAAAGCCCTTTTAAATTTCTTTTGTCTTTCATCAAAGCATTTATTGCTATCAGCATTACAGACTTTTATCTAAAACACTTATCTAAAGTATCGTCATCTCTTACATGGGTTATTTCAACAACCTTTAATCCCTGCTTTTAGTGTCTTCATAACAACACTATATTCTTTGTTTTAAGGCTAATGTGTTCCTTCTAAGATAAAATATTGATGCTAAATTTCTATTGTCTATTACACTTGCAGCAAAATCCTATGAAATCCACTGTTTATCACCAATTATTGAAGCTTTATCTCCATTTCCGCTATTGTGTTGCTAGACTCACATAAATGTGTCTCTTTTATATTGAAGCACAGTGATTTCATTTCCGTTCCAGAATCGAAGAAGTTTTTATTTATTTATTTATTTTGGTGAACATTTTTTAATTTATAAAGTTGCATATGTGCCTACTTATGTAGTCACCTTTTCATTTAGGAACAACAAAATACTAAGGCTTTGATATATAATATGTACCATATATATGGTAATAGTTTCAGCTTTAAAAATTCTTTATAAATCTAAAATGGGATATGGAGACTGCTGATCAAGGAGCACTTTATTACCAGTACTCTGGAAGTGAGAGTCATATGGAAACTGGAATATAACACTAAGGTTGGAAAGAGTGAATATGAGCAGGGTTACAAAAATATATCATAAAGGAAAGATTTTATTTTTGAAGGTAATCAGAAGGTAGTTGACCAGAACAACAATATGTGTTTCCAAAACATATATTCCTAAAAAGTTGGTGGAAATTAATGTTTTACAATAATCACTTTAAATGCCACAGAAAAATAATGTGAAATTATTCCTCAAGTAACTTTGTAAAATGAAAACACATTTCTACTGTAGATATTTTTCTACTAATTTATGATTTAAAAATTTTGAATAGTATTTTCTATTCATTTATCAAGTATCTGGTTTGATTATTTTGATAACCTCAATATTGCTTATTTTTCCTTAATTTTCACGAGAGGAATAGATTCTATAGACCCTCACATTTGAATATGTGCAGTAGAAAGTGAAAATACCATTTGACATTGATGATATAATTAATATTTGATGGCAACAACTATTGTTCCTTATAAAAAATATTGTGAGGAAAGCATCAGGTTACCTTTATGCATGTGTTGCTTGTGACTGCCTTAAAGTTAAAAGGAAATATACAAGAAAAATAATTATAGAGCACTTTTTCCAACTCCTTATGTAAAATAATATCTGGCCTTACATTTCATAATTATTCACAAAGCAAAATGTTTATATTCCATCTTTTCCTACATAGTGAAAAGAAGTTACTATTGAGAATTAAAAGGGGGAGAATTTTTCTTTGCATAATTGTCACATAGATTTTTGAATTCATGTTGAAGTAAAAACAAAGTTTTCAGCTACCAATGCAACATCCTTGGAAAATAAACAATGTTCTTATTTAGAGACAGAATTTTCTTCAATAAATGATGTTGTGAATGTAAATTACTAATGATAGTTGGCAAGGAAATTATTAACCCAGGAGTAGGTTGCCTATAGAATTTTCAACCTCTCAGCTTCCTATAATTAACATGTCACAAAAGTTAAGATAGAAATTATGTATGTTAAGATAATATAAATCTATTTTTACTAGATTTTGATGATGGTAATATTGTTTGCCATCTTTTCTTTTGTTTCCTCTCTTCATGTAGCTTGGTACTTCAGTGGAAAGAGATATATGTGAAGTTAGAATGAATTTCTAAAAGCACAGTATAATGACTGATTTTCTCACTCCCCATTTTACAAAGCATGGAAATTCTTGTTAAATACAAGCTCAGATTAAAC